ATGTCAAACATTTTAACGTGTCATAAATAATTTGGTTTTCTATATGAGTCACTTGTTGATAGGCTGCGCCATTCAAATTGAGCACAACAATAATCGGAAATATAAACAATATGTATGTTTCTAAATATCAATGTCAAATACTTAGACGATTTTTGCTGTATTTGAAACTGAGCTTGTCATGTCACCGACTAAACAGTGAACTGGCTGCATAATTAGCAAGGTATTTTTCTATGTGCATGCCCCTTGGCGATATATCTTTTTTAGTAAATGTTCCGTCTCCTATCATAAAACTATTGGTCGAAGTCAATATTTTTTGGATTATATAATCTATTTGTATGAAAGATGGACCTCAAGGGCATACATTGCAACACATAATTTTCTTGGGGTGATTCATGTATTCTTGCCTGATAGATAAAGCTAGCTTATTTCCATATATATATATATATGTATCATTAGTTGCTTTGCTTTGTTTTTTTCGCGAAGAAAGAAAGCTAAAAATTAACGTTGATATTTTTTAACACAAAAAAATTGTTGTTATATTACTTAGAAATTTGTAACAAATAGCGAATCATTTTAAAAATTTGACGAAGTGAAACCAAACAGCATGCAAATGTACATATTTTTATTTTATTATTAATTTTATTTAGATTTTTGTTTTTGATGTGTGGAAATATCAACATAAAATCTTTTTATTTCTTCCTCATTTGGATTCGTCCTGAATTATTGTTATTGCAGCAGAGCGCGCCTTTTGAAAACTTTTGAATTGAGTTTTGCTAATAATTTGTAACAATATTTTAAATGGTTAAGACGAAAAATTATAATTTTCCTAGGATTTCTTTTCTTTTTCTTTTAACTTTAAATGTAAGCACATCTCTATATTGATATATATATATATATAACTTTTTATGTGCTAGCAGTGTATACGTGCTAATATTGTTTTCAAACTATTTTAATTAAACATAATGTATGAACAAAAACTCTTTTAATTGTATTATGTGCTCATTGGAACGTGTAACAGAGCGTCTAGATTTGGAAGAGAGATAGCATTTGGAGGCTCTTTTATTATTAATGATGCTTTTTTCTTTTGGAAACTAAAATCTAGGATGTTTAATATATTGAAATGAAAATTATGTATTTAAAATGGAAACAATCGATAGTCATTGGTTCTATTGATATTTGGTCTACAATAACACATGTCTACAACGACATTAATTAATGACATGATATTTCGTTCGCTACGATATTTCAATCCGCATACCGAAGGGTATTGATTACTCTTCAAGGATTTCAAAAGAATTTAATTATCATTATTCAAAACGCTTACGTCACTAAACAAAAATAACGATCGATCAGCGGCGTTTGACCGTGATGTCTATATTTGGTTCTCATTCGTTCGTTCACCGTCAATCTCGCGCGGTACGACTGGCCGAACGTTTCACACGGTCTTATTCGCTGCTCGCGATGGTGTGGAACAAAACGCCATCTCCTCTCTCTTTTAGCAGTTAACGATCAGGCATACACACACATCTGCTGGATCAGGCATACACATATATCTGCTGGATCAGGCATACACACATATCTGCTGGATCAGGCATACACACATATCTGCTGGATCAGGCATACACACATATCTGCTGGATCAGGCATACACACATATCTGCTGGATCGATTTAACAGCTTCGTCCTGATGTTCTTTTTGCTTGTAATTTTTTTTTGCAAGTTTCTCCCTCAAGTTTTTGTTGTTGTTTTGTTTAAACGGTTGTGTTCAAATCACTTCCTTTATACTTCTCTTTACTTTGTTTTTTTCTGGTTTTAGCGCCCTCTCCTATTTTTTCTGTTTTAGGTAGGATATGTATATTTATATTATGTAAATTTAATTTATACTTATTTAAATGTGTTTTGTTTGTTTGTACTGATGAAGGCATGTGCCGAAACGTTTACTTGTGTATAATGTATAATTGTTATTAAAGCGTAACTTATATTGTTATATTGACACAATTTGTTCGGGTCTTATTAATCTATATTAAAGCTTTATTGCAGTCCCACACTTTTTATAATTGTTTAAACTATGCATGCCTATTTTCAAACATAGTATTAGAACCTAGTTTGTAGAGAATGTTCCGTGATTAGCTAAACTCGGTAATATTTTTAAAGATTTCCAAGAACTCAGCTTATATCTCTGCATGAGATTATATTTAGGTTTGAATCAGTTCAATCATAAACATCTGTTCAACAAATGCGATGTTAGAACTATTCATTTTGGTAAGTCCGGGATGGGGCCATGATTGCCCCAGTTTGGCTACGCTTCTCCGGGGTTCCGAACGGTTTAATTCTGCCCCGGGTACCGATTGGTTTCTATATGCTAGGGGGTAGGGCAGTAGTCGGCTAATCGTGGCTCGCGACCTGAATGCGGCTCGGCCAATCGACCACAAAACCTTTTTAACTTCGAAAAACATCGTTCTTGAAAGGTTCTTGAAGAGGAATTTGACTCTAAAAAATGTTTTAACCGTCCGGCTGCTGATTTGACTAAAGTGTTTGCCAACACGTGGGCTAGGGCATTAAATTTTAGATTACATGGAAATGAAAAGGAAAATCTAAATAAAAATTTAAATAAAAAAAAAGGTTTTACCGTAGACAGATCTAGAACAATGAGTTATCACATACTCTGTTTATAGTACATGCAATAAAATTAGTTCTCTACGTTTCATGACCTAATAGTTATAGCCTACATTTGGTAACTGGTAATTATATTTCTTTGTATCAACAGACAAAAAAATGTTGCTCTTTTTTCTTAGTTTTATGTGGTGCCTGGAGTCAACCGACATTCATAGTCTACTATTTACATTCTCCGAGAAAAAAGACGAACTTTGATTAGAGCTGCTAATGTTTGATGATTAAATAATTTTCTTCAATTTTACGAAATAATACATTTGGAACTTAATGCTACTTTTGTTCTCCAACTTATCTCTCTAGACTTGAGTCTACTTTAATTAGTGTAAATCAGGGGATATAATGCTATCAGATTAGGTAGAAGAAAAACTATGTTTTAGGGAGAATCTTGAAATAAGACTCAATAAAACAACTAACGTGTCGGCAAGAAGCCTCCATTAGCGAAAATTACAAACAAAGAATAACACAAAATATTGAAAGAACAAAAACAACAAAACAAAAGCATAACAAACATATAACAACACCTACAAAATCCTATCTGAACTTTTTTATCAGAGAGAGGAGCCAGATGAACTTACACTAATAATTTGTATCATAAGTTTATATACAATAATACAAATGGGTCTATGATAATCTCTTGTTCTGCGGTTTGTTTTCATCAAAAGAGAAATAGTCCATTTATACGGCATGTTTAGAAAATGAGAAAAGGAAATAGGCATCGCCGATAAATCACGTAAAAGCCTATAAAACTTCCAAGAAACATTGTTACCAAGCTTTTGTAACACGAAATAGTAAGAAAAATCCACATAATAGTTAGAACATTTAAAAAGGTTTCACTCCGTTTAATCGCAAGTGACAAGGTCTTTGAAAAAAAAGAATTCTTAGCAGAAGCACGATCTTAATAAATAAGGGGTTAACACTGTAACTGGCCGACCTCAATCACGAGGTTTGATCTGGGCCTATTAGATACAAATCAGGTATGGTAAAATTTCCAACGATAGTCTTCTCTCGTTGCCATTGGAGGTATGGGAAATTATTAAGACGGTTTTCATCAGATGGTCAAGCTACCAAAAAAAAAGACGAGCGCTGGGCCATGGACCATAGAAGAAGGGCTTTTAATTACGTTAGTTTATTAGAAACTCGATGTCAAGCCTGGTTTCAACCCAATGTCATATTTACACGTACACACACAGCAAACAGATTTATTACTAGGTCAAAACTGAATCACGGTGTTTGTGATTGTAGAGATTTAAAGTAAATCAAACTGTTTGTAAATCTGTCACTGTACTATGACTCTCTCTTGATGAACAACTTTTAGCATGCCTTATTTTATAATCTATAGCTTTAAAATATATATTATATTCTCTGAAACAATACACGTCAAAACAATCAAAACATTGGATCTATTTAAATATTTGTTCTGTGACAAATCCTAAAGAAGCACGATAATTTTATTTTAATATGGTATTTGATTTAGAGCGCCTTTGGTGGTGTACTAAGTCATCCGCCATTAACAGTTAATTTTTTTTAAAGCAAATGCATGAGATAACAAATATATTTGCTACGTTGGTTATTGTCACTAATTAAAGATTTTATGCTCAATATATTTATAAGTTATCTAAATTTCTTTTCTGATTAAATGGAACATTATGTAATAATTTTATTTGTTCATTTTGCCCAATAGTATACCATTTAATATGTATTCCGTATGGTGTTCAGTATGCTAAATATGATCAGGAAGTTCATCAGAATAAACAAATCTAATGTATTTGGAACATATTTTTTTTAAATTTTTTCCTAATTATTGGTTTAATGACAATAATATGTTCATTGTCATATAGGCCTACTATGTGAGCCTCAATCTAAAGTTTTGACGTCAAAAAGATGGTTGTTAAATTTAAGTATACAAATAATTTTTTTTTGTAGTACCATTTTAATTAATGTATTTTTTATACGTCAAAAAGCAATAATACAATGTTTAAGGGTCACAAAAAGGTCTGTATTACATGTTTTAAATGTTAGTTTTCTGAGAAAATCACATTTTCATCTCGCCACATACGCGTGGTCCTTATAGCATGATGAAATCATTTTTAATGGTCCTCTTTTTAAAAAATCAAAGTGTTTTGCATCCATGAATTAGAATATGCATTCAATCATCTAACCGGAATTAATTTTATATGCTATGAAGTGTTAATTTTAATTGTCCTCACTCGCTTTTATATTGTTATGTTTTTTGCGTTTTTTGTTTTTCTGTTTTTGTCAGATGAAAATGTTTAGGACTTCAAAATCTTTATTCTCTGGAAGCAAAACCAAAAGTCGTTTATAAAAAACTTAGCGAACTTCGGACTCGTAGCCACGTAAATGATGAAATTAAAGGACGAATTACTTTGGTAAACTAGAGACATTATCTCATCAACGATGAGATGTACAGCTGACGAGGGATACAAATTACTTTGGAACATTCCAACCATTTCAAACACAAAGCTTGGAAGTAGCACGGTCACCATCATGGATATGGAAACAGCCAGCGAGGTCTTGGCCGATTTCATCTCCTTGATTCGTATCTTTGACTCCGTTGAGGAAAGTTTTTTCAACGTGTTCCAGTTTTTCGTTATAGAGGTAATGATCATCACAGTGCATACCGCGATGATTACAATCGGAATAAGGTTTGAAACTATCAAGCCGTAAGTTAAACCGTACACGTCAAGTGCCTCCTCGTTGTCAGTGAAGTACGTAGTATGACTTAAAAATCTAGCTGTATAATTATCGTCCACAAACGTAAATTCCACAGTGCGAAACATATTGAAAAACGGAGAGTCGAGACAGATGATAGCGGCCGCTCCGATTACAGAAACTAGCCTGACGCGAAACCTAGTGATCAAACTCGAAACACGGAACGGTAACGTGACGGCCACCGTGCGCACGATGGCAACTAAAGTGACGAAATATATGCTGATGAATATACACGTCTGATTCGGAACAAGTATGTATATCATATAAAAGCAAAAAATGTCGTCGGCCGCCTTAGGGTAGTATGGAAACAACACACTGGGTATTTTGCCAAGCAGGTTTGCAGAGGAGACGAAGAAGTCGGCCACGGACAGGTTTAGTAACAGGATGCTGGTTGTATCGTTAAACCTGTGATGGAGCAGTATGATCATGTTCAAAACACTGCCAATCATTCCAAAGATGCAGAGAGAAAACCCGAGAACGAAGGAGAATGCAAAGCGAATCGCATCTTAGATGGCCGGACTGATTTCCGAGGATGGAGTTCCGTCAGGTAGATCCACGTCGTCAGGTTGATCAGACACACCCGTCATCTCGATAGACGACCACTGCGTTTCATTGAGGACGATTCCAAAGATTTCGGTTGTCATGGTGACGCTGGATATACTTTTGATGCTTTTGATTTCTTCCGTCTGTATCTGTTTTGAATATAAAACATTTTCAAAATCATATTAAAAATATATATTTTTTTTAAAATGTAATTTTTGAGTTAATGTCTGCTCTTCTTTGATGTATGTTCTACTTAAAATTGTCTTGTTGATGTATGTTCTACTTAAAATTGTCTTGTTGATGTATGTTCTACTTAAAATTGTCTTTTTGATGTATGTTCTACTTAAAATTGTCTTTTTGATGTATGTTCTACTTAAAATTGTCTTTTTGATGTATGTTCTACTTAAAATTGTCTTTTTGATGTATGTTCTACTTAAAATTGTCTTTTTGATGTATGTTCTACTTAAAATTGTCTTGTCCTCTATAGAAATGAAATGATCTGACATTTGTAAATGCAAAACGTCTCAATATATTGCGGTTATTTTAATTTTTAATAAAAAAATAAGTATCGTATTGATATTGATATATCAATAAATTTTCTTGATTTTTTTACAACTCTGATTTTTTTCTAGTCACAAATCACAAAGTATTTTCTATCAACTAACACATCCCTCCATCTATCACTCTGTGTTGGTCAAAGTTTTATTCAAAAAAAATAATAATTTCCTATCATAAATAGGACAAAATTTCGGACACACGTATTCTTATATTTAAGAATCAACCTCCTCACATAACCTCAATGGCATTACACGTGTCCAAACCAACCATCACTCGATCATTCTAAATGAAGACACATTTCAGCGGTAGAAAATCGCACCAGTTGCTTTGATGTTGTTGACAAGTCTAAAACAAAACGCCTCCCAAAAGAAATCATATTTAAGTATAGACATAAATTAAATTTAGAAAAAAAACAACAATATAAACATTTTGGGAAGAAAATCCATCTTCAGCGTAGGTGTTCCTTATCGGATAAGGCAAATCAAGTTCACTATCAGACGAGGCAATTTAAATTCACTGGCTTTAATCGCAACTTGTAATTGTGTTTTTTTTTTGTTTTTTTTTTTGTGTGGAGGGGGGGGGTTATATTGTGGCTGGCGTTGATAGTTGATGTTGTAACTTATTTGGTCTTTAGCTGGACAACCAGTGTGTTGTTAATTTCCGTGTGTAATAACATAACAATACTATTTCAGTTTCAATAATTTATATATATATATATATATTTATATACATTCGTGGATGTAACTGCGTCAATTTCAAGCCAGCTTACTTGAGTTCAGTTCCAAGAAAACTCAAAGATAAGTCCTAATATCTCAAGCACCCGAGATGGATGGGACTCGTTAATCTAAGGTGGCAACTCGTCTGAGAGAAGGTAAACTCTTAAAAATCGAATCCACAGATGAAGTCCCCTTGGCGTCATGCCATTGACGCAATGGAAGCACCGCGTCGTGAAATGCAGAAGGAGCACAGTGAAACACACACACATACACATACACACAGGTGGTCATCTTCTGCAATCCTAGTCTATAGTCAGTCTTCTTGGCCAAGTCTTGTCATTAGCTCAAATAGGCAAGGGCGAGAGAGTGATGCTGACGAATTGAGCAAAGCTCTCTCACTTTAAACAAAATAGAACTCAAGGCTCTTAATCAAGTCGAAACATTGCCCTGGTCTTTTTCACATGCGAAAGTCGATCAGTAAACAAATGTATTCGCTTCTTATCGACTTGTCTCAATGAGAACCGTCTGAAAGTTCTAAGGATAGAGAACACACAAAAATCATAAAACATATATACATGTTATTTGGGTTGATATCCTTAGATGGCTACATAAGTACCCTATAAATTAGTGTATTTTTTTTGTTTACAAATGCCCCTATGGGTATATTTTGATCTAGGCTCTTAGTGAAAAACATCTTGGCTGGTACGGATAATGGAGGAAGGCTGTTTTCCAAAGGACCAGCTGTATGAAAGGTTTGCAGGGAAGGAGAGACTTGTTATGAGCTGCAGCTCCACATCAAGGACATTGGAACCAGGGGGACGCCAGCGCTTTAATCGGCGTATGAGATCATTAGGGGCTGTCGAGCAGCAAGGTATGCGGAAGAAGAACCGGTACAAGTTTCACGAAACAAATCTATGTACCTATCCAGCTGTCTATCCATATGTTTATCTATTTAACTATCTAATCTATCTATCAAGCTGTCTGTCTATCTATCCATCTATCTATCTATCTATCTATCTATCTATCTATCTATCTATCTATCTATCTATCTATCTATCTATCTATCTATCTATCAATCTATCTATCTATCTATCTATCTATCTATCTATCTATCTATCTATCTATCTATCTATCTATCTATCTATCTATCTATCTATCTATCTGTCTGTCTGTCTGTCTGTCTGTCTGTCTGTCTGTCTGTCTGTCTGTCTGTCTGTCTGTCTGTCTATCTATCTATTGGTATATTTCTCTTTTTCTGTCTTTCTATTGGTGTATGTATCTGTCTAACCATGTCGATCTATATGCATAGTGTCTTTTTCTCGTAATCTGGGCCTTTAAAATTGTAGACTACGTAGATTCAAACATTTACATTCTTACTTTCCAAAGTTGCTCTAGAAAAGTTAGGGTGAATAACAAAATATTATACTTTATAGGGTCTCCATTATTGACATAAAAGTACATTGCCAGAGGCCCATTTCGAAAGTTTTCTAGATAAACTGTTTCCAATGTAACAGGTCTGAAATAAGTGCTAATTAGTTATAGAGTTTCTTTGTTGTTGTCGTTGCTATTTTTTAAGTGTCAGTATATGTGGGGGAAAAAAAGGGGGGTGGGGGGGCGGCCTTATAAGAAGGTACATGAAAAAGAATGTAGATTATTTGTCATAGATTTATATCGGTTTTCATAATTATCATTTGGTCAATCTAAGCATAAACTTCTAATAAGATAGAGCGTATCGATTTATCATTTCCGCCGACCTTTTTTTAAACACTTAATGAAGTCAAAATAACGAGGCGTACTTAAAATAATCCTTCCTTGAACAAAAGGGCAGAAGGCTTATATCAGCAAACCATAAAATAGCTGTGTTATTTGTTGTCCTCTATCCCATTTTCAATGTACCATATGATTATATACATTTGAAAAATCGGTGTAAGTTTGCCATTTGGCAATTTTTATCCAGTGATCTGTTTCCCCTAAGGCTCTTCCTGGTGCAAATATATTTGTGCCAACTTAAACTACTTTACGACATTATTGATTTCGGCCAACAAGGTAGTTTTTCCTTTTACGATAATTACGATTAGTAGCAGCCCTCAATAAGAATAATTTATTAACATTTCAAACCAATTTTTTGGAATCGTGTAGCTTAAGTGGCAATCTAAAACAGTTAAAGTATATGACCTTGTTTTGTCGTATGAATCAAGTACCTCAAGAGCTAATCAAGTATAAGTATATCAGGTTACATTTGGTTATCTTTGTCTGAAAATTTACGTCAACTTTCGTTCTCCAAGTTTGATAGCTCTGTAAACCTCACTTTACAAAAAAAAAATACACATTTCTAAAATATACGGGACACCGTTTTTGACTATTTAAAAAAACAAAAACCATATTACTATTATTTCTTGACTAACAGAGATAGAAACGAATCTAGACGTAGAGAAAAAGAGAGAGAGTTCATATCTCAGAGAATGAAAACAAACAAATATATGGAATATTACAATCTTTTAGCCTGGAGCTGAACTGGCATTCTTTGCAAACTAAATTCTATTTTTCCAATGTGAATGTGTTGGATTTTTTTTTTTTTTTACGATTGAAGAGGTTTGTGAGAAACATATATTTTTAAAAATGTGCACGTATATTTCGGAATCAAACATATTTTTTATTCACTAATTTATTAAACGTCTGTATCAATTTCAAAATAAATGTTTTACTCAATTTTTGATTTAAGGAACAATAGTGAATTTAATTACTTAAAAACTGAACAAATTGTAACTGTACTTTATTTTTACAAGATTATGTTTTTATTCATTGTAAATTAAATATGGGTCAAATATCCTCAGTCATGTCATGAACTAACTATTAAAAAAAAATACTACAATTAAAATAAAGGTATAGATTTTCATTTACAAATTGTTAGTTATCTTTAACTCTACTATTTAAATATGAAGAGATTGCGCAGAAATGCGTTTCATCGCTTGTACAAGTATTTACATAAAAACACAATTATTTTCAACTTGAGACTTACTCTTAAAGTCTTCGCTTATTACGGCTCTTCGGTGTATCGGGTTGTGTGCGACTTCGTCATCATATTGATCCTATGTCACCACGGAAGAATCGTCTCAACCAAATGCATTGTATTGTTGATTCTTTTTGTTTTTCTTTACATTTTGTTTGATAAATCATTACGTGTGAGAAACCTTCCAAACTAGCTTGCTCCATTCTATCAAAACCACTCTTTATCTATTCGCCTATATTACACCATGTAAAAAATATGTTGGGCTTAATTTATATTTTAAAGAATAACTTACTAGATGCGAATTTCAGATTGAACGTTTTCAAACAGCTTGATGAATTATTATTATTTTTTTTTTACATTTATATTTATGTATTCTTTGTTAGAATCGTAAAGTCAGGCTTATCATCAACTGTAAATTCGTTTCTTTAACTAATCTATTTTTAAAAATAATATTTGCTTTAGAATTTTATTGATACTTTTTAAAACGTAAACATATATTTAAAAAAAATAGATTACAACAATGTTGTTGATGGAAGCAACGCCTTGTTTCTTTGCCAAATCATTTTACGTTGTTCTGAATTTGTTGATCGAATTCAGGTCACATTTATATTTGCCGCAGTCATTTAGGAAGATAGAAAGT